GTATTGATATTTCAAAGTTAATATCAAGCCATTTAGACTCATGAATGCACTAGATGTGTTTCAACATCTAATAAATAATATCTTTTGTTAATTTTTTGATAATTTTATTGTTTATTATCTAGACAATATTTTAATCTGCTCTAAGAACATAAAAAAACATGAAATTCATGTTTTATATGCTACAAAAAATTAGAGATGTAAAATTATGTGCCAAGAGCAAAAATTTTTGTATTTTGTATCACTAAAGTTGACTTTTTAGGATACATCAATTCAAACAATAGCCTTATAATAGATCCTAAGAAGGTCCAAACTATCATGAATTAAAAGATCTCAAAAATAGTCAAAGAAATATAATATTTTTTGAAATTTGCTAATTATTAACTAAACTTCATCAAGAATTTTTTTTCAAGTTATTTTTCTTTTTACACATGTGATATATAAAGAAAAACTTGTGTAGAGCAAAGAAAATAAAGCATCTTTTGAAGCCTTGAAGGCATCATTTATTTTTACATCAATTTTTTACCATTTCAATTTTTTTAAGGTATTTTTTATGAAAACAAATACATCTGATTTTACTATAGGTGTAGTATTATCACAAATGAGAGTAAATGATAAGTTCCACCTAGTAGCTTTCTATTCCAAATTTTTTTAACAACCAAGATTAATTACAAGATCCACAACAAAAACCTTCTTGTAATTGTTGATTTATTTTAAAAATGACATCATTATATAAAAGATTCTTTTAATTCAATCATTGTATATAAGGATAAAAAGAACCTCAAGTATTTTGTGTCGACATGTATTTTGAATTAGTTCCAAGCCCATTAAATTTTGTTTTTATCAAAATTTGATTTCATTATCAATTATTAATTCAAAAAATAATAAAATATGTCAAATGTTCTTTTTAGACATTCTTATCTTGCATCTAAAGAAGAAGATATATCTTTTGATTAATAAAGAATAATATTCTTAAAGTCAAAGCATAATCATCTTTGAGCAATGAAATGAACATTAACTATTGATTCAACCTTTTTCAATCAAGTTTAATCAAGTATGTCTTTTGATCTTCTTATTTATGATATCAAAAATAATTCTTCTAAGCCTTATGAGACTTTTAGATTTGAATTCAAAAATAATCTATTCCAATTCAAAAAACATTATATATTCTAAAAAATAAAATATAATTATGTATTATTTAAGCTTATCATGACCTTTTAATAGTTGGATATTTTAGATATAATAAGAATTTAGAAATAATATTAAGAGACTTTTGGTGGCCTCAAATGTATTAGGAAATAAAAACTTTGTGCAATCATGTGACATTTGTTCAAGATCAAAAATTCCTTGTCATCAATCTTATGGACTTCTTCAACTATTATTTATTCCAGAACAACTATGGTCTTTAATTTCTATGGATTTTATCACCAATATTTTAATTGTAGGTTCATATGATTTAATATTTATAATAGTAGATCATTTTACTAAGATGGAATATTTTGTACCATATACAAAATTTATCATTGGTAAAGAAACAATTAAAACTTTTCTTAACAATATCTATTGTTATCATGGATTATCTAAGAATATTATATTAAATAATAAGATTCAATTTATATCAAGATTTTAAAAAATCCTTTTTAACATTCTAAAGATAGACATAAAGTTATCTTTGGATTTTTATTCTCAAATAGATATATAGATAGAATGTATAAATCAAATTTTTGAGCAATATTTGAGATATACCATCAATTACCAAGAAGATGATTAGACAATTCTTTAATCATTTGTAAAAAAAATTTACTATAAAATAATACATTCTTCTATGCAACAAACATATATTTTTTTCTAATTATGATTATCATCCATGACTTGATACTTTTTATATTTCAAAAATTGATAATCTTACAACAAAACATTTGACAAATTATTTATCTGAATTACATATTATAATGAAGGCAAAACTAAATGAAGTTCAAGAGTAACAAAAGACCAACGTACATACTTATTGCAAGAAACAACATTGATTTTACATTAATGATAAGATATAATTACTTTATCATAATATCAAAACTAGCTACATTTGTAATAAGTTGCATTATTTTAAGTTTGAACCATTTCTTGTTTGTAAATAGATCAATTCAGTTGCTTATTGATTACATGTATTGGAATCTATGAAGATTCATTCTATATTTTATATTTTCTTGTTGTAATACAATTACATGGTGAAAATATAAAAAAAAATTGATTTCTAATTAATATTCAACCATCTTGATTCAATAAGAACTCAAGATAATTAAGAAAGGCTTCATAAAAGTCTCTTATATTATTTACTTGTCTTAATAGCTAGTAAATAAAAGATAGCTATCAAGTTTTCCTTCTAGGTTGTAGAAACTCTTTTATTATCTTAAAAAAGCCATAAATTAGCAAAAATAAGATAAATGAGGTAAATAATTGATATGATTGATATAAGGATAAAGATGAAGATAGGATCGTGCTTAAAAATTCCTAAGATAGGTTGGATTCATATTCACAGAGGACTAATTATTAACATGGATCAAAATCAGATCCTAAGGCACATAATTGTGCACCTACCGCAACTCTAGGATTTATTTATAAATCAAAAAGTTGGATTTGAGAGAAGACTTTATAAAGTTTTTTTGAACATTGGTTTTGGATAATTTGAGTTTTTAATGACTTTGTAAGAGCTTTGCAAAGTTAGGATTGTTTTTGGTAAATCTAGTTTTGTGAAATAAATATATATATATATATATATATATATATATATATATATATATATATTTAGAAGAAATTTATAAATATGGTATTAGATTTACATGTGAATTTTTTTGGATTTGAAATTATAGTATTTTTTATTATGTGTTGTAAATTTGAGCATGATCTAATGATTAGATTGAAGGATATTGAAGTTCAAGTGGATTAGAGTCTCAAAAATGAGGTTTTGAGGATCAATGAGTATTTCTAAGATTTTTAGGAATTTGCTAATTGGATTGAGGTGAAATTTATGTATATAGGTAGTAGACTTGATTTCCAACATACATGTGAATTTTTAAAGGATATTCAATAGTAGAATTAAGAGATTTTGGCTCAAGGAGATTAGCATCAAGCTTGGAGAAAGAGGCCAACCAACACCTGAGTGGATTTTAGGATTTATCATCCATTTGATATGTGCAATCTTCTTTAAAAATTTTGTATTTTTTTTAACTTAGTTCTTATAAGGTTTGCAAAGTTTGAGTCAAAATCAAGAATTCAATCATTTTTTATTGAATTTTTACTCTACTATAGGATTGTTAAGAATTTTGTTTAGGATTTAGGATTTTTTTTGGATTTGATTAGGATTTGATTAGGATTCACCTAGAATATAATTAAATTTGACTAAGAATTAATTAAAATTTGTCTTAGAATTATCTAAGATTTTATTAAGATTTATTAGGATTGATTTAGGATTGAGGATTTTATTAAAATATCATTAGGATTTGACCTAAGATTTAATTAAGATTAATTAGGATTTTAATTAAGATTAAATTAAGATTAAATTAATATTTATTTAAAATTTTATTTTTAGTACTTTAAAAAGATTTTTTTATTATTTATTTAAAAGTTCTTATTTTTAATATATCATTAAGTTTATTGTTATTTCTTTAAAGGTTTATTTGTATTTAAGATATTTCTTTAAGATTTAAGATATTTCTTTAAGATTTCTTATTATTTTTCTTTGAGGTTAATTTAGGACTTCTTTGTGTTTCTTTTGTAACTTCTTTTAAATTTATTTTAAATTTATTAAAGTTTCATAAGGATTATTAAGATTTACTTAAAGTTTATTAAAGATTTTATTAGACTTAATAGAATTATTGTTGCATTTCTACTTATCTTCTACACCTAGGTGCTTGGTACATTCTCAAGCAAGAATATATGTGATATAATAATGTGTCTCTTCACAAGTTATATAAGATAGTGAATATCTTGGACAAAAGACAAATGCCACCTCTTCTTATAAAAATAAATAATAATCAAGTGTTTGAGGTATGAGGAGTCTTAAAATTAAGGTAGCATTAAAATAGGTTGAAATTGAATGGAACATTATCAATGGCTGAGAAGACCTATCAACCACCATCAAAAGAAATAAAGATTAGAGTTTCGGCCAAATGTTTTTTGCTGTAACTTGGACTTCTTCAACATATGATGATTGCTTCCTATAGAATTTGTTCCTAGAAATAGAGTAATGTTATGAACATTCATATTTATCTAAATAAAAAGTGTTAGATAAAAGATAAATGTAGGTAGATTTGATACTATTTTGTGGCAAAGCTTCATAGATGCGTATTTGATTTTATATATATTTATAGTTGATTGATAGATTAGAAACTTGGCCAACAAGTTAGTCATGTATTGTACATGTGGGTAACTTGTGATATAAGCTAACGATATTGCATACATATAAAAAACTTATCTTATAAGTTACAACACTTATCTCGCAAATTGGACATGTGTTGGAGGTTCTATAAAATGTTGTCATGTAGCTCCTACTTGGATAGTATATATAGAGACAAGAGTGAAGCCTTCTTCACTCTTGTCAATGCCTTTGTAGTCTTTAGTCTTGTTCAAGATTTTTTAGTCTTCTTGACTTTAGCAATAGCCATTTTAGTTCAATATATTACCATCTTTAAGTTTATATTAAATAAATGTTATATTAAATATATCAAATATTTATCAAATAATTTAAAAATAATATACAAAGAAAAAAAATACACATCTTAAACTAATTCCATCATCTTTAACAAAACCAAGTTTATTAAATTCAAACAAGTATATTTTTTCCACCAAAGCTGCATTTCACTAACTAATAGTTCACCATTTGAAACAAGTAATTGGCAACAAGTATTCACAAACACATTTAACAAAGATTATGCACTTCATTTGCACAATAATTATGCTTTCTTCTATGCTTGCTTTAAGACAATTTAAAGTTATTCTTTTCTGCGTCGCCTGGACACCATTTCATTTTTCCCGAACCAGGCTCGTGTTGTCGCCGTCCTCTTTCTGAGGCTCACGAATTCATTGACAATGTTGCGGTCTGCGCAGCTCCGCAGCCTCGACACCAAATATTTGCTTTGTGGGTTGCGCTGGAGGTATGCCTTTGGAAGAGATTTAAGCTGTACAGCCGTTGGGTTGACCAGATTCGGAAGAATTTGTTAGAATTGGGTCTATCTTTCACTTTCTCATACTCTCGCGCTGTAGCTCTCGTTGTGGCTGCAGAACCCTTGCGATCCTTTTCTTGCAGGGGCTCTTGAGACGATTGAAAGTGTGGAGGTGAAGGATCGCGTTTGTGTTTTGTGGTGAGTTAATGTGATAGGTTTTGTACCTTGTTTTCGTAGGATCAGTTTCTTGTCTCGCTTCAAAATTATTGAGCACTGGAGATGAAAGGGCTGCTGATGCTTGGGATGCTTGCAATCACCCCTACATTTCAAAATGCTTGTGGGTCTACTATAAATGTTGGTACATCTCTTAATGATGGTGAGAAGTAAGTGAAGTAAAAACAAAGAAGTTCAGCTCTCGGGTTGTCTAATTCATTTCACAGTCCTGTGTACTCATTTGCTGGCTTGTGTAATCTTCAGCATGCAGGTGTGAGTGATGGGGCTGTCTTCATAGGATGAGTTGCATTGCAGAACAGTGGGCAGGGCATGTTACAAGCATGGGATGAAGGTAGCCGCAGCAGTTCACAGTTGTGATGCAAAGAAGCTGTATGTGACCATGAAAGACGTGGCCAGGCCTTCTTAAGTTGGATATGATGGATGTTTTCTGTATGATCACACGACCGTCTCACTATTTGTCGATGTTCAGGTGGATAATCCCATCGGTCGTTAGTGCAATTGAGGTGGTAGCTTGAGCAAAATTTGAGTCTTATTGACGAGGTTTTCATTGTTAACTCCAGTTGTGTGGTTGTAATTCTGTGCGAGAGAAGCCTTTTCTGAGAAAATTTAAGACCATTCTGAGAATAAACCGGAAGCATCTGGTAGTTGTGTGCTATCGTCCTTCTCAATGGCTTTCTTCGATTTGATCCCTTTGCTTTATATAGAGTGACTGCCATCATTGACTCTTTCAAATTTGAAACAGGTGTAGTGCATATGTTAAACAAATGTGATACGTTCTTTTCCGCATGTTAATAATAAACCACAACAATCCGTTGCCTCACAGCTTGAAGATTCATCTTTAAAGGTAAGTCCCAGATGAAGAAGTTTGTTGCTGGATGTGTGAATGGATTTGTACGAGGCAATGATCCACACAACGCCTCGAAGTACCACAACCGGAGAGTCAAACTTCCTTTGTGTACCAGTTTTATCCTATTATTACGTGGATAAGATTGTAAAGTCATGACGGGGGGATCTTCCCAGCATTTACGAAGTGACTCATTCTATCCATTTTGTATACTATTTTTCATAGGATCGTGACTTGGCACTGATGTGTCTACCATTTTTTGAGTCCGATGATTCTGCTTCTGTGCACGCTTCATTCTTCTGCGGCTTTAACGACTTGGCAGGAAATGTTATTTAGTGGGCCACGCGGCATGCAGAATACATTGCTGGCCCGCGCCATTTCCAGAGCGAGCTGTCTTCCATTTATGATTCCGTGCCCTGCTGAGTTTGTGCAGTCCTGCACTAGAAATGGATCCGACAAAAAGTTAGACGTTTTCTTCACCGCCAGAACCAACGCAAGCCTTTGAACTCCAAATGCAGAAATCAGTGCCTTTTCTCCCTGGATTGGTTGACAGGTAGCCTCATTAGATTTCAATCGGGATGTACTTCTCAACTATCGTTGGCAGAAGTTGTAGGAGTGTATACGGGGTTTATCATATTTTCTTCGGCATGTGCAATGCAAAAACGTTTCTGATGCTCTCATTCCTCGTATTTGTGAGGTTCGCGTGTGCATTTTACCCTGTGTATCCCTCATTTCCAAATGCTTTCTCTTTTGTTCGCCATTAATGTTCGAATTTTGATGTATGAAATCCAACCAGATTTTAGATTGCACCTTAAGTGGTGTCATCAGGGAACCTGAGGTGGGTAATTTGGTTTGGAAAATGTTGCTTGATTAGTTATGTTTTAGGGATGAATTGACCTAACAATCAATATGTTGTTGAAACACAACATTAACATTTCTTGAAGTGGAAAATATTAAAAATGCACATGGTGATGGTGCACTCTAGGAACTTCAACTATGCTTTACGTCTGTATTGAGTAATATATGAACCATTATCATAGATGGCTATCTTTTTGGTTGATGTTGTAGAATTTATAGAGGTCAGGGATGAGAGTTTATAATTGTGACAACCATCTATTATGTTGGATGAACAAATTGTAGCTATTGTTTCTATAGTGTTAAGAAAACCTAAACCTAATTGTAGATCAAATACATTTAGTTATAGTTGTAAGACAATATATATAGTACTATTCCAATGAGAAATACATGAGAGTGTATATGTAGTTTTGTTGAAACTTCTATTTTGTCTTGTATTACTTTTCATAGTATCAAAGTAAGACATTATAAAAGTTGATTCAATGTTTCTTTCTTCACTCATTTCTACCATTTTTCTTACACAATCTTAAATTTTTAATTCAACTTCACATTCTTTTTATATCCTCTCTATCTTTGTCTTCTAAAATCTTAATAAAAATTGTTCCCCTCATTTTTAAATCTACACTATTCATAAGAATTAGTCAATTAATACTAATTTAAAATAACAATCATATTAGATAATATAATAGAAGAGAGAAGCTTCTTAAATGACTACAATTATAAGGAATAACAATCTCTTATGTACAACATACTTTAAAAAGATGAATGATAGAACATGGTATATATACCATTCACATATGATGCAACTTTATCATTTAGAGAGTTGAGATGCAAATAAATAATTAGTTCAATTGTCTTAATCCTCATAATAGCTAAGTTTAATCTATGGTACAAAAAAAAAAAAAACACCAAAAAATAGTATATCTTTGCCTATCAATTACTTATAAGATTCTATTATATATCAAAGATATGGAAGATCTCAAGCTTGCTTGGACATATAATCAAGGAATATTTTAAACAAATACTATCTCAAATACAATGGTTGTACTAAATAAATGAGAAGTCATTAAAATATTTTAAAAAAAAGATGTTTCATCTTTCATTTTGTCAATTTACAACAATATTAGAGAACTAAAAAGATATGGAACATCCATAGGGACATTATCATAGTATACAAAATCTTAAATTGTCTATTCTCTTGATTTGTTAGTTTCTTTCAAATACTTCAAAATGATAGTAATTCCTATTTTGAATGAATAATCAAGAAAATTATTAATAGAAGAAACAAATAAAAATTTGTGTATTTCATCAAGAAATAATGAAGCTCTTATGCTGCATATTTAATCTACAATTAATTAAAATTGTTTCAAACTTCAATAGATTAGGGATGTATACTTTCTTGTATCTAACAATTCAAATATATCTAATAAGAATTTACAACAACCAAATCCTTGGAGCACCCTCACAACCAAATCAAAGATGTGTATTGGTTGATCTATAACAAGAATCAATGATATGTCATAGATACAAAAAAAATAAAATAAAATAAAATAAAAAATCACAAGATTTTATATAGTACTAATACCAATGCAATTACTACAAGGTGTACCAACTTTGATGGAAAGATACTATGAAGCAAACATATTTGTAGACAATATTTATAGCCTAATACTAATCAATTTGATCTTTCAATCATCTCAAGTTTGTTTTATGTCAAGTGATGATGATATTAATTAAACATGAATAATACTATTGTGTTTATAAGATTTAATGATAAAAACTAGTTTTTTTTTATCTAAGAACATTTAGATATTTTAAAAAAGATGTTAAAATATTTAATGACCTATGTTTAATTTTAAATCCTAATATATTAACATTTGCAAGAAGTAAGTTTTATGCCATTACATGCTATAAGGCTATTGATGTTTATACACCCATGGATGAAATTTAATACTTATCTGAAATAAAACATGTACATAGTCTTTATAAAAACTTGTTATTAATTGGCCAACTTATTCACAAAATAAAAATATGTAGTTCTTTTTAATAAGAAACTATACTATATTATACCAATTAGCATGAAAAACATCTCAAATGAACTATAAAAACTATATACCTTCAAAATATCACCTCATCTTCTCTTTTCTTACTTAAAAAAATCACAAAATCAAGCCTAAATTATCTTAAAGAAAAATTAGAATTATTTTTGCTAGAAGCAAATTCAATACATATTGATGAAAAATCATTATATCTCTAGTATTATAGATAAGGCATATTAATTATGTAAGATTATCCAATCTCAACAACAAAATTTTAGGTATATGAATATTAAAATTAAAATTAATGAAGACCATGTATTATGTTAATTTATAAATAATATAATGTAGAATAAATATTTTAAAATATATTATTGATTGGGCAACAAAATCACTTCAGCTAATTTATACAAACTTGTGTGGACCACTTTTAACTACTTCATTAGGAGGTTCAAATTATTTTATGACATTTATAAATGACTATTTTAAAAAAAAATATGAATTTATTTTCTATATATTAAGGATAAAGCCTTTAGTAAATTTTTGTAATTTAAGACCATGATTGAGAAACATATACCGTACTTAATTCAAAAATTATTCTCAAATCAAAAGAGATAATTCTTATTAAAAAAAAATTAGGAATTACCTATGCTCTGAAGGTATTACTAGACAATTGGCTAATATTCATACACCACATTAAAACATTGTAGCTAGAAGGAATAACAGATCTATTATAAATAAAATCAAAAACATGATTATAGTAGGATAAATACCAAAATACCCTTGGACCAAAGCGATATAAATTGATGTTTGCTTAATGAATTGCTCTTTTATAAAAATTAATCCAAGATAGATATTGAGAAGGGATTCTATCTTTTAAAGCCATTTTTCAAAAAAATTATATTTTTAAATATCTTTTATATATACATATGAAAAAAAAAATAGCACCTAAATCTAAATTAGAAATCTACCTAGGCCTTGATGAAAATAAAAAAGGATTTAAAATTTATAAACCATTAAACCAAAAAATTACTATAATCAACAATGTTGTATTTGACAAGTATAAGTTCTTCAAAATTGAACTTATTAAAATTACATTCAATATATCAACTTTGTTTCAATTTTTTAAGTATTTTCTTATAGCAAGTAAAGATAATAAAAATAAAGAATCAACCACCTCAATGTTAATTATGGCACAACAATAATATCCAATAATACTAACCAATATCTTATATAAAAACTCACCAATAATAGTAAAAAATGATGATCCTAAATAAATTAAAGGGCCTATATTTTAAAAACTTCCAAAGGTAAACTTCATCTCATACCACTCTATTCTTAACTCTATAGACAAATGACCAACTTTAGATGTCTTCAACAATTACAATTCTTTTTAAAATATGAATAAACCTATTGTTCTATTTAATTCATGAAAAATCTATTGATTACTTTTTCCAATAACAAATGAAGGATACAAAATAAGATTACAAAGGTTTTTAAAACTATTACTATAATTAAGAAATCATTCTATGAAAAGCTTAGAACTATCTTGCAAACCATTGACCTTTGAAGAAGCAATTCATCACTCTTTTTGGAGATTTGCCATGAATGAAGAGATGACTTCTATCTTAAAAAAAAAATATGAGAGTTAATTAATTTTCTAATTAAAAAAGTTCTAATACCAATAAAATTAGTATGCAAAGTAAAGAAATTAGCAAATAACAACATAGACAAGTAAAAAACAATACTAGTGGCTAGTAGCTTTAAATAAAAGAAAAGTATAGATAATAATGATATCTTTGCTTAAATTTTTAAATAGGCTATAATTTTTCTTCTTATTACTTCAATTTTTTAATAATATTGGAAATTATTCCTCTTTAATATGAAGAAAAACTTCTTATATGATAATCTACAAAAAGATGTTTATATAATCTAACACCAAGGATTTCTA